GAAAGAGAGCATCAAATAAACATGTCGATCTCAGGGGCAAGTTGAAAGAGGAGAATCAAGGACATGGAACCATATCAAGAAGATGCCCAAGATGCCGATGGTTGAGGAATGCAGACTAGGTGGAGGTGAGCACATCTGGAGGAATTCCTAAGGGTGTGTACATGATCTCATGATGAATTTCTTAATATAGTTCTCATACAGATGTATATGATTGTGCCAAGCATTTCTGGAGGGAGTAGAACAGAACTTATATCTCGCCTCCACTGAATGAGCATTGTCTCTCATGGTAATTCATTCCCTCATTAGGAAGCGCCAGGGATCAGAATATTCTCTGCATCCTCCTCCCTCTGGCCATAGTCTGTTCTTGCATGACATACAGAACAAATCTAAACTTTTTTTTCTCATTGCAGCCTTTCAAATAATTAAAAACAACTCCTAGGTTCCCTTTCAATATTTCCTGCTGTAGGCAACAACCCCAGACGTCATAGATGGCATCATTCCATAAATTCCAAATTTTCAAGTTGAAAAGGACTTCAGAAATTCAAGTCCAGATCTCCCTCTTGGCCCAGGAGGAAGATGAAATATAAAGAGACGAAAAGCAGTTGGTTGGGGAGTCGATTTTGCCCAATGTCCCCTGGATGCGGCAGTTCCAAGACTTAAAGCTGGATCACCTCATCTCAAATCCAGTGTTTTCCCATGTCTTTCAATGAGCTTTACCATCCCATTCTCCTTCCTCTGGATGTGTTCCAGCTTCTCAGACTTCTTCTTTAAATGTAGCCCCTGGTGATGCTGAACACACTGGCAGATGTGGTCTAACCAGCCGAGAGAACAAGGGGATTGTTATCTACTTTATTCTAAACTTTACACATCCATGAATGCTGCTATGAGGACTTCAGATTTCTTTGGCAGGCCCTGGTGATTCATACTGAGCATGTGGTTCACTAAAGTCATTTGTTTTGTGTGGTTTTATTTTACTTGAAATGTGTCAAGCAAGATAGTTTCCACCTTATAATAGAAAATAACCAAGATATAGAACTTTCTATTTCATCCTCCTAAATCTCTTTGTTAACTTGGCATATCTTTTCACCTGGTTAAGATATTTTTTGAATTTTAATTCTCCTATCAAGCATAGTGACTAACCCTCCACATTTTAGACTCAATGAAATAAGCATTGTGGCAAAGACAAGTCTTGACAGGTCACGTGCTCCCTTATTTTTTTCCCCAAACTCTGTTGCAATTGGTGTGGAACCATGTGACTTCCCCTGGCCAACAGACAGTGAGGTAATGTCACTTCTGGGTCATGGCTTTTTTTTTTTTTTTTGGCTGGGGGAGGGTGGTCAGGGTCTCACTCTGTCGCCAAGGCAGTAGCACAAGCATGAGTCGCTGCAGCCTCAACTTCCTAGGCTCAGGCTCCGAAGTAGCTGAAACTACAGGTGCATGTTACCACACCCAGTCATTTTTTTAAAAATGTCTTGTAAAGTCCTGGGGTCAAGCAATTGGTCAAAATGCTGGCATTACAGGCATTTAAGAGACAATTTTATTCTTGTATTCCTCTAGTTCCCTGATACAGAGACCTTGAAGGTCACATGTTCCAGATGTTATAACTGCAGGTGGAGCTTACGTGAGCCTGTGACAATACATAAAAGACAATTTACCGTATTCCATTCATTTAAATTCTCTGTACGTAGCTAAAAATTCTGCCTTAACCTTCTGCCATGCCTGGCCAATTGCTGGTTTTATTGTAGAGATGAGGTCTTACCAAGTTGCCCAGACTGGTCTTGAACTCCTAGACTCAAGCAATCATCTCACCTCTGCCTCCCAAAGTACTGGGATTACAGGCATGAACCACCACACCTGACCAAATTTGCATTTTAAAGATACCATCTACAGGTCGGGAAGGAATTGGAGGGAACTAAGACTAGAAGCAAGGAGAAGAGCCAAGAGTCTTTTGCAAGTGAACATTTGAAAGGGAAATTGTGACAATTGGAGCCAATGTGAACTTACTAAATACAAAGGTCTGTCAGAGTTGGCTCATTTCCATTTTCACCAGTGCTGCTAAATAGACTGGTATGTCAGAGAAATGACCAAGTTCAAAGTCCTGAACTTGGCTCTTGTCTATCACTCAGTTTTGCCTGTCCCATTCCCCTCCTCCGTCCTCCAGCCACAGGGTCCCCTTTCTTTTCTTTTTTTTTAAGTGAGAAAGAAGGATTTATTGAGAGGACAGAGAAGTTCCCACAGTGGGAGGGGACCCAAAGGGGTTGCCGCGGGTTCCCTTTCATTTTACTTCAGTGTCTTGAGGATTCTCTGATGCTGGATTTTTGCACAGACTTGTCCTTATGTTTAGAATGCTTTTCTATTCTGTCCCTTTTTCCAGGCTGATTTCATACTTTTTTTTTTTTTTTTTTTGAGTAAGAGTCTCACTCTATTGCCCAGGATGGAGTACAGTGATACGCTCATGGCCACCGCAGCTTTGACCTGCTGGGCTCAGGCGATCTTTCTGCCTCAGCCTTCCAAGTAGCTGGAACTACAGGTGTGCCACCATGCCCAGCTAATTTTTTGATTTATTGTAGAGACGAGGTCTTGCCATGTTGCTCAGGCTGTTCTCAAAACCCTGAGCTCAGGCAATTCTCTCACCTCCACCTGCCAAAGTGCCGGAATTACAGGCATGAGCCACTGCCCCCGGCTGATTTCATACTTTAAATCTCAGGGGTTTTTTTTTCAGAGAGACCTCCCTAATCTCCCAAAACTAAATTAGCTCCCCTTCCTTAATTCTCCATTGCCTTGGGCCCCCCCGGGCATTCAAAATAGCTGTAATCAATTCTTACAAAATCACTTTATCTCTTTCTCTTTTGACACTAAAAATTCCTTGAAGGCAAAGGCCATGTCTGTTGTGTTTACTACTGAGAACTTAGTGCAAAGTAGGTGTTCAAATAATATTTGTTTTAATAGAATTATCTAATAATTAGCTCTGGAAATATGACAGAAATCAGAACTTAACTATGTGAGCTACAGATATTAGAATCTTTTTTGTTCTCTGCCCTTCTCCAGATTCTGGGTATTTCCTCTTTCTTGCAGTATCCTTCAGAGATTACTGACAGTGATTTCGTGTTGCAACAGCAAGTTCTTTCAGTTGCCTGTGTTGTCATTGCTTTGGTGCACAGATCTGCAAACCACAACCCAGCCCAAAGCTGGCTAGCTGCCTGTTTTTGTAAATAAAGTTTTATTGGAACACAGCCATGCCTGTCCATTTCCAAACTGTCAATGCCCGCTTTCACACTATAACAGCAGATTTGAGTCATTTCAACCGAGACCATATGGCCTACAAAGCCTAAAATATCATCTTTATAGAAAAATTTGCCGACCCCTAGTCTAGTATAAACATTTGAGCTCATTTAAGACAGCTAGTGATTTCCTTCTACCATCTCGTCTATATTTGGCCTTTTCCCCTTGTTACACATCTTTGATCTGCCTTTATGATTTGAAAAGGATTCTTTCTAGTAAAGAATGCAGAAGAAAAGTGATAGCCACTGCCTATAGTCATCTGCTAGTACATCTTCTGCCCCGTACAGTGCCTGTTCCACTGCTCTTCCTGCTCGACAAAGGTCTCACAAGACCCCCTTTATTGCCCGTAGGAATTTCACAAGATGTGTTTCACACTCAGCTCCTTTTCACAAGTTATATTTTGTCGTAATGATGTGCTCCTCCCTCCAACAGTTCTTCATGACCCTTTAAGATAAGAACTCACCAAAGAGCCCTCTTGGCGGTGACAAGAATTCCTTTCTTCGTGATCACTGCCACTAATGTTATCATAATTTTAATTCTATGAATTGAGAATCTCACTCTGTCACCCAGGCTGGAGTGCAGTGGCATGATCATGGTTCACCACAGCCTCAACATCGTGGATTCAGGCGATCCTTCTGCCTCGACCTCCCGAGGACAACAGGAACACACCATCACACCCGGCTAATTATTTTTTGAATTTTTTTTTTTGTAGAGACAAGGTCTCACTGTGTTGCCTAGGTTGGTCTCAAACTCCTGGGCTTAAGCAATCCTCCCTTCTCAGCCTCTCAAAATGCTGAGATGACAGACATGAGCCACCATGCCTAGCCCAGAATATTATTTTTGAGTCATCTGTCTCTCGCAGTTGGGTCTTCAGACTGGATCTTTAGATCATACTTGTGAGTTTTTCTGAAATTTTAAAACGTTATCTTAAGAGTTTTGAGGGCATGTCAGAAGTCCAGATGACCTTCCTTAGTAACTTTGAACTCTCAGATGAGAGTTCACTTTACTTCTACTCCTCCTCAATTAGTTCTTCTACTTGGTCAGCATCATGGTTAAATTGCAATCCCCTAAAAAGATACATCAAAGCCCTAGCCCCAGTGCCTTCCAATGTGAGCTTATTTGGAAATAGGGTCTTCACAGGGGTAATCAAGTTGAACTGAGCTCCTAAGGACCAGTACAGGGCTCTAAGGATATGGAGACAGAACACCTGGCTCAGAGTCTGAAGGACGGGTGGGAAGAATGGCAGCGAAGGCCTTGTAGAGAGGCTTTTATTTCAACTGAGACCAAACACAATGAAGAGAGTTTAGCAGAGGCATGCCTGGGGGAGCTCTGAAGGAGTTGTAGCTTTTCCCATAATTTCTATTATTCCCCCCATCCCATCCCCAGCAACCTAATGGTAGAAACTCACATTAATTCAATATTCACCATGTACCAAGCACAGTTCTAAGCACATAACAGTCATTATCTCACTTCATCATCACAAGAATCCTGGCATTACTATCCAAAGCCCATATATGAGGGGAGCCCACCAAAAAGTTGGAATTTATTTATTAAAAAACTGTGTACTTATTCTTATATGTTTAAACGTCAGTCACCTTCAAAGGACTTTCTCATTTGATGCAATGCAACTGTCGAGGCACTTTTTCCATTGCTCAAAATAGTTTCTGAACTTGTCAATTTCGAAGGCTTTTAATGCTTCTGCCATTTTTTGTTTCACCTCTTCCATCTTCCATTTGAGGACCTTTTTCATCTGGGAAAGGAAAAAAAAAAAAGTCACACCGGGCAAGACAGGGTATTCACGACATTTTTGGTGAAAAACTGCTGAATACTCAACATGGTGTGGGTAGGTGCATTTTCTTTTTCTTTTTCTTTTCTTTTTTTTTTTTTTAAATTGGAGTCTCACTCTGTCACCCAGGCTGGAGTACAGTGGCACGCTGCTCATGATCACCACAGCCTTGATCTGCTGGGCTCAGGCAATCCTTCTGCTTTAGCCTCCCAAGTAGCTGGAACTACAGGCACGTGCCACCACGTCCAGCTAATTTCTTTAGCTTATTGTAGAGATGAGGTCTCGCCAAGTTGCCCAGGCTGGTCTCGAACTCGTGGGCTCTGGTCATCCTCTCATCTCAGCCTCCCAAATTGCTGGGATTATAGGCATGAGTCACCATGCCTGGCCCAGGTGCATTTCATGGTGGAAGAACCAGTCACCTGTTTGTCACAACTAAGGAAGTTTCTTCCACAGTGCATCCTCTTACAACAACACTAGCTGGTACACTCACACTGATGGGTTCCTAGAACACTTACCTAGCAGGGAGTCATGCTCTCACCCTACCTCTCCCACAAAGGTGAGGTGTGTGCCAACTCTGCTGGGCAGTTTTAAGACAGATTCACTAGCACGACTACCCACCTGCTTCAAGCAGATGGTTACCACTAAGCCTCTCCTTTAGAGAAATTCTAGAATGCTCTTGAAAATGAGCCAAACAAAGAAAGGAAGTATGGGGGTTGGGAGGAGAGAGAATCTTCAGATCCCAAAGCCAGAGACAGCATGAAGGTTTTTGATAAGAGCAAGTAGCTAGAACATGGCAGGTGTCCAGGGTTCCCCAGCCCCAATCCTGTCCAACTAGGAAAGTGTTTCTCAGAAGAAAGGAAACCTCTTTCTGGAATGAGACACTACTAATATCGGTCACACTTAAGAACACGGCCTTTGTCCAGGGAAGCATCCAAGGTGTGTGTCTGAGCGCAGCCTGGGTGGATGAGCCTCAAGTGGTCCTCAGCTCCTGGGTCCCTCATTCGGCCTCTGACTCTCCCCTCACTGGCTCTCTCTTCATCTCTCCATTTTCTCTTCGGCTCTACCCAACCCGCCTCTCAAGCCACAAAAATTACCTGTTATTGTTCCTGGCCCGCAGTCGTTCTGACATTAACTGGCAAACTCTTCAACCTGGTCTGGTTGAAATTTCAAAGTTGGCCCCCCCATGACGCAGGCCCACACCCTCCCCACCCTACCTACACCAGCTGTTCAGGATGGCCCTCAAGGAGCCTCTGAGGAAACTCGTCCCTGGCAGGAATTAAATAACAAAAAAACCCTGGAAAACTAGGTTTGACACTGACAACTGAGGAACTTAAGACATTAGGCATAAGACCAAACACAGAAGATGCTACCCCGGTCCCAGCATTTGAACTGGCCTTGAGCGCGCTGTGTGTTTTTAGACAGCTTTGGACAAATGCTCTCTTGAGCAGCCAGGTTATACCTTCATATTTAAGGGACCATTCAACAACACAACATGGCAGTTAATATTTAAAATAAATGGGAGAGGAAAGGCAATAATTTCCTCTAAATGAAAGACTAGATGTGAATCTGAGAAACACAATCTGGCACTGATTGAAAGTAAATTGGCAGCTGATTAGACGACGGTAAATACAGGGAGAGAAGCCTCAACAGGCAGCTGGATCTGTAAGGAAGAGGGCAATTAGACAGGGAACAGGAGCGGGTGAGTACAGACAGGGATCTGCAGAGGGCAATCAGGGCAGCTCTGCACAGCCAAGATTACAAAGGCAGGAAGAGATCTGTAGGAAGCGTTCTATAGATGACGCCTGCATGACAGGGAAGCTTGCCCACTCCCAGCCTCCCTGCCTCATCTCCTCAGTGAGCCTGAAGGGGTTAAACTGCCAGCCCCATATCCGGCAGCAGTTAAGAGGGGTGCTTGTTATTGCAGCACAGGAAGTATCAACGATTTCAGTTCAGAAGAGAAAACCTTTTTTAGGCTGTACCCAATCTGGAAGCTTCTCCTTCCTATCAAAAGCCAGGGACTTGAAAACTGCTTTCATCCCTGCAGCCCACAGGGACAAAATCCATGTAGGTCTTTGTAAATGATGCCACCCCTAAATAGCAGCTGAGGCTGGCTGCTGATACAAGCCCCCAGGATTACCAAGAACTGAGAATTCTCTGAAATAGTAGATGGAGTTTGGGACAAAAAAGTGGTATAATTAGAAAACCCAGGATTGTTCTGTGCTTACAAAAAGATATCCCCTTTTCCTCTGGCAGTTACAACAGAGTTTGGCCAGCCTGGGAGGAGGTGATGAGTTGGGACAGAACTGGGGAAGGGGGAGGAGGACTGTGATTTTTACATTGGTGATGGGAGTGAATTTGCAAAGAACAGACAGTGAATGCCTCAGTGCCATGGATGTTATTGATTCTGTAGCCGAGAACCCTACAAGCTGCTGTGATACCCAAACAAGGCAATTGTGTGCTCTCAAGGTCCAAGGAGAAAACAGAGCACATGCCCTCCAGCTGCTAGGTTAACTCAGCAACATTCCATCTTCTGCATCTTTGGGCTCCAGTCCTCAGGCTATAGATACATCTCTCACCAAGAATGATCTGGGGGGGGGGCGGCGTGCATAGGCAGCAACAGACCCAATGACCACATCAGCTACAGTTTGCATCTAAAAGAAACTATTCCAATGTAACATGACAGGGAAGGTATGAGAGGATGGGTAAGCAATATGGAGTAAAAATAATGGAGGGGGGTGGATTGGGGAAGAGGTCTTCTCTGAGTGGGATAAAGTCATCTCCTTAGCCACATCTGAAAGTGTTTCACTAATTCCCTAAAATGGAGGCACCAAGAAGCTATACCATACAGTGCTCCTTGAAGCTTGATATGTAGGACACATATTTAACTGTTAACTGATAACCATTAATTTGATACGGTTCACAATCCACATATGGGGTCAGTCAATTCTCAACAAATCTTTAATTGCCTCTATAAGATTCAGAGTTAAAGAAACCCTTAAAGGATGCACAAAACTGTCATCAGCAGTTAAAATTCAGTCTGAGGGTGGTAAGTAGTTCCTCTTTTTTTGTTGTTTTGAAAGTCTATAGTTAAGCTTATAGATTTCTTTTTTTATTTTGACAGCTTTAGGGGTACAGATTATTTTTGGTTACATGATTACATTGTATAGCGGTGAAGTAGTCTGAGTTTTAAGTATACTCACGCCTCCCACCTGTGCACGTTGTACCCGATGGGTGATTTTTCGTCCAGGTAAGTAGTCCTTCTTATCAAATGTTTCCTTAATTATGCTTGCAGCCATCAGGATATGATACCCATCACAAAAGCCAATATAAATCAGATCTCTAAAGGGACACAAATAACTGAGACTGGTCAAGGAAGAATTTGAAGATTTTTAAAACTAGTTTGAAGTCAACTTTTGGGTGAGAACAGAAGAGGAACTGAGTTTACTTCATCTGGTTTTAACTGAAATAAAGGTTAACATGCCAAGTATCTCCATCACTGACTCAAGATAAGATGACTGCCAGGCGCAGTGGCTTCGGTTTGTAATCCCAGCATTTTGGGAAGTGAGGCAAGAGGATTCCCTGAGCCCAGGATCTGGAGACCAGCCTGGGCAACATAACAAGACCTCATCTCTACAATAAAAAAAAAAAAGTAGCCAGGAATGGTGGTGTGTGCCTGTAGTTCCAGCTACTTGGAAAGCTGAGGCGGAAGGATCGCCTGAGCCCAGCAGGTGGAGGCTGCGGTGAGCCATGATTGAATCACTACACTCCAGTCTTGGTGATAGAGTGAGACTCCAATTTCAGGGGGGAAAAAAAAAGACCATAGCTGGGAGAACCAAAGTGTGTGACTAGAGGGAAGTAGCAGCACTGAAGAAAAAGATGCAAAAACAGGGGGATCTGGTATTGAGAGTAGATCCCTGATGGATAAGAAATATGGAGACTGACAGGAATGAAGGGAAGTTTCAAGGCTTTCAACAAAACCATCCTTGCCGGGCGCAGTGGTTCAAGCCTGTGATCCCAGCACTTTGGAAAAATGAGGCTAGAGGGTTGATTGAGCTCAGGGGTTCAAGACCAGCCTGGGCAACTTGGTGAGAGCCCCATCTCTACAATAAATCAAAAAATTAGCCGGGTGTGGTAGCGTGCACCTATAGTTCCAGCTACTTGGAATACTGAGGCAGAAGAATAGCTTGAGCCCAGCAGGTTGAGGAAGGGGTGGCTGTGAGCGTGCCACTGCACTCCAGCCTGAGTAACAGAGAAAGACACCAACTCAAAAAAATAAAATAAGATAAACCATCCTTGATTGCAGCATCACTGCTCACCCCTAACAAAAATAATTCCTGATGGTGCTGGCAAGAGGCTGTGCTCAATGGTCCCCCAGATTCCTTAAAGCTTCCTTCTCTGGTAAAGTAGAGATGAGGATAAATTTTACTGAAGTAAATTCTGGGTTCTCACAGATTCAAGAAGTACAACTCACTTCTCTTAAGACATCTCTGTTTTGTTTTCCTGAGGACAGCACATGAACCTCAAGAAGCTGCAGTGTCTCCTGAAAAAGCTGACTAAAGTATGGAATCTGGCTGGGTGTGGCGACTCATGCCTATAATCCCAGCACTTGGGAGGCCAAGATGAGAAGATTGCCTGAGACCACAGGTTCGAGACCAGCCTGGACAACTCGGCAAGGTCTCGTCTCTACAATAAATTAAAAAATTAGCCGGACAGGGTGGTGCATGCCTGTAGTCCCAGTTACTTGGAAGGCTGAGGCACAAGGATCACCTGAGCCCAGCAAGTCAAGGCTACAGTGGCCATGAGCATGCCACTGCACTCCAGCTTGGGCGACAGAGTAAGACTCTGACTCAAAAAAATAATAATAATTAATTAAAAAATCAAAATAAAATAAAGTGTGGAGTCAGCTCAGATTGAAAGATTCTAGAAGGAACAAAGTTTATTAGTAAATTTTGCAGCAACTGCAGGTGCTCAAGTCTTTCTTGTAACCAGAAAATAGGTTGTGTTGACTGGAAGTAAAAGTATATCCCAGCCGGGCTGGGTGGCTCAGTGGCTCAGCCTGTAATCCCACGCTTTGGGAGGCTGATGTGAGTGGATTGCCTGAGCCCACGGGTTCGAGACCCACCTGGCCAACTTGGCGAGACCTCATCTCTACAATAAATCAAAAAGTTAGCCGGGCATGGTAGCGCATGCCTGTAGTTCCAGCTACTTGGAAGGCTGAGTGGAAGGATCACCGGAGCCCAGCAGGTCGAGACTGCAGTGGCCGGGAGCACACCACTGCACTCCAGTCTGGGCGACAGAGTGAGACTCCAACTCAAAAAAAAAAAAAAGTGTATCCCAAGTTTAAATAAAAAAATATTTAACTTAGAACGGCTTTGGTTATACCATGCTCCTCAAAAATTCCACCGAATGATAATAATAATAATAATGTATTCTTAAATTTGATCCATATTAATGCAATTCCATTGAAATCTCTATGAGTTGGGTTTTTTTTTGTAGACATAGACACACTTATTCTAAAATTTATATGGAAAGGGAAAGACCCTAGAACTTCTAAAACAATTTTTTAAAAACAAGAATAAAGTGAAGGGAATCCTTCTTCCCAATGTTAAGACCCAATCTATAACTGCAGTATCAACACAGTGTGGTACTGGTGAAGGGAATGGATAATTAGAGCAGTGGAACAGAATAGTTCACCCAGATAGAGCCATTCAAATAAGTCCAATTAATTTTAGACAAAGAAGTAAAAGAAATCTGGTGGAGGAGAAATTGCTTTTTCAGTCATTGGTGCTGGGGCAATTGGACCTAAACCTCACATCTGCAGCCAAAATTAACTCAAAATGGATCACATTTCAAACCTACACATAAAATTGTGAAACTTCCAGAGAAGAGCATAAGAGAAATATTTGAAACATAGGACTAGACATAGTTCTTGGAATTGACACCAAATACGTGATTCATAAGAGGAAAAATTTATAAACTGAATCTCATCAAAATAAAAAACTTGCATTTTGTGAAAGACCCTGGAAAAAGGATGAAAAGACACATTACAGACTGGAAGAAAATACTTACAAATCACATGTCCAAGAAAGACCTTGAGCCTAGAATACACAAAGAACTTTTAAAACTCAGTATTTTTTTTAAAAAATGCTGGGCGCGACGGCTCAGCCTGTAATCCCAGCACTTTGGGAGGCCAAGGCGAGAGGATTGATTGTCTGACCCTGGGGGTTCAAGACCAGCCTGGACAACTTAGTGAAACCTCGCCTCTACAATAAATCACAAAAACCAGCTGGGAGTGGTGGTGTGCGTCTGTAGTTCCAGCTACTTGGAAGGCTGAAGCAGAAGGATCACCTAAGCCCAGCAGGTCAAGGCAGCCGTGGCCATGAGCGTGCCACTGCACTCCAGTCTGGGTGACAAGAGTGAGACTCCAACTCAAAAAAAAAGTCTGCTATGATCTGTATGTTTGTGTCCCACCAAAATGTGTGTGTCGAAATTCTAACCCTCAAGGAGATGGTATTAAAAGAGGGCTTTTGGGAAGTGATTAAGTCATGAGGGTAGAGCCCTCATAAAGGGAATTCGTGCCTTTAAAAAAGAGTTTATCTGCCCCTTTCTTCATGTGAGGACACAGCACAAAGGTACTGTTCTATAAAACAGGAAGTCGGCTCTCAACAGACACCAGATCTGACCTTGAACTTGCAGCCTCCAGAACTGTGAGAATTAAATTTGTGGCTTATAAGCCACATAAGTTATTTTGTTAAAGAAGCCTAAGCAACCAAGACAAAAACACAAGGTATCCCTTAGCATCATTTTCGACGATGGCTCTGTAGACCATTTGACTTAGGATCTTAGGGGTAGGAAGAAGCAGAGGAGGGCTTAGTGAAATGCAATTCCTGTGTACTGTTCCAGAAATTCTGATTCAATAGATTTAGGTGGGACCTGAGAAATCTGCCTTTAAAACAAGTTTCTCAGAAATTTTTTTTTTCTTATTCAAGTTTGAAAATTACTCACTGCTTAAGCTACCAAACTATAAAGGAAGAGCAGCCTTAGAAAGAAAACCAAAACTGGGCCACTTGTGCCCTGAAGAGGAAAACAAAGAACAGAGAACATTTAAAGACCCAGGAGCAATCTAGAAGTGTCTTGAGCAATAGTTACTAAGAGGTGACCACTCTCTAGATTAGGATGTGAAAGTAATGAAGTTTCCTCCCACATACACGCTCAAGAATACAAATCTGAGGAGAACTTGCTCTGTATGGAGAAGTTAAAAAAAAAGGAAAAAAAACACAGTTCTCATAGTCATGTGTTCACGAGGGACTGTTAGAGGTCTAGAGAGACCAGATTCTCTGATTGTAGAGTATGTACTTTGGCCCCTTGGAGGACACTCATTTCCCAGCTGAATCAGTGTCTTTGGAGCCCATGTGAGTTGGGTTTGTGGGGAACCCACAGACAAGGACCCCCGATATTGCTGACAGGTGAAGGGTCCACTGCAGAGTTCTCTAATATTACTTTCCTTTGATTTATTCCTCTTTTCTTCTTTTTTTTTTAATAATAAGAGATGATAATGAGCATTTGTATACCTAACCCTGAATTGTACCCCACATCTTTAAAATAAAATTTAAAAAAAAAATAAGAGATGAAGTCATGCTATGTTGCCCAGGCTGGTCTTGAACTCCTGGCCTCAAGCAGTCCTCCTGCCTCAGTCTCCCAAAGCTCTGGGATTATAGACATGAGCCACCCTGCCCCCCCACCTTACTTTTTATCATCACTTTTCCTACCCACTCACAATTCAATATTCACATGGGTCTAGAGATGAAGCTGCGGCTCCTTCTCACCAAGCCACTAAATCGTTTGCATTTCTGCCTTCTCCGTTCTGCTTCCAATCCCTCACAGGCAGAAAAAGGAGAGCCTGAAGACCAGTGGGCAACAGGACTAAGCACAGAGACAGCTCGAAGCCAGGTTTATTGAAGCAGCTGGTAAGTAAAAGGGCTGTGACTAGGAATATAGACAGGGTCCAGCCTGACACAGAGAACAAAAAACTGCCAGCCAGGGGAGGGTCAGATAGGTAACTGCCAAGCCTTCAAAATATGAAGTGACCTTTAGTAAGCCCAAGGCCAGCCCAGAAGAGATGCTAGCCAAGATGGGATCACGCTCAGCTCTTCCTCAGGCCTGGTGTCCAGGCACCTGGGCTTCTGAGATTCCCTTTCCTGTCCAAGCAACTGATGAATGGCTCCCCAGTCTCCATCCTTCCCTCCCCCGGTAGGTCCCTGAGTTTTTTTTTATCCCTGGCTCATTTGTGTCTGTTGTGTGTCCTCTTAGTCAAAATCGATGGGGGCTAATTAGTGGTGAAAGCAGAGACTCCAGCTCATTTCCGTTCACCTCACTATTTGTTTCTCTTTTGGGCAGAAGCCAAGCAACAAATATTAACATTCCTCCTGCAGAGCAGACACACAGAGACACATGGGAGCATCTCACATGAGCAACCACTCTCACAAGCACACACATACACACACATATAAGCACATGCACACACAGGCATCCTCACATGCACACACATACACGTGTGCATACATTCACATATGCACACACATTCTCACATGCACATGCACATGCACACACCTACACACAGGCAACTGCACTGTGCACATATGTACCAACACATGCATGCATTCACAAATGCACATATACATACATTCACACATGCGCACACATGTATCCACACATGCACACACATCCTCACATGCACGCGTACATGCACAGATGCGTACACACCGGCATCCACACATGCACATTCACATGCATTCACACATGCACACACATATCCTCACATGCATATGTACACGAACACACATGTACACAAGGCATCTGCACATGCACGTGTATCCACACATACACGTGAACACACATGTGCATATGTTCACACATGCACACACATCCTCTCACACATGCACACACACATGCACACACGTACACAAGGCATCACACATGCACACACGTATCCACACATGCATGTGCACACATATACACATATGCGTGCATTCACACATGCACTCACACGCATCCCCACATGTGCGCACACATGCACACACACGTGCACACAGGCACTCTCACATGCAAATGCGAGTGCACACACGTATCCACATACGCACACGCACACACATGCACATGTGCGTACATTCACACGTACACCCATGCACATGCGTGTACACATGGGCATCCTCACATGCTCATACGCATACATTCACACATGCACGCACATACACCTCACATGCACATACACACGAACATGAACACATACGTACACATGCGCGTGCACACACGTATCCACACATGCACGCGCACACACATGCTCATATAGTCACACACGTACACGCCGGCATGCTCACGTGCACACTCGCATACACACGCACCCACAGCCCCGCTCCACCGCGACTCGGCTGTGCAAGGTCTCTGTGGCCGGCCGTCTTGGGGAATGCAGGGTAACGCCTCACCTCTTTTCCTTTCAGACCTGAAACTGGAAGGAAACGGAACAGCCGTGCAACGGAAAGGCCCCGGGCAAGCCGGGAGAAGCGGGGCGTTGCCGCAACTTCAGAGCCCTCGGGCCCGCACCGGCCGGGGGCCGCCGCCGGGGCCGCGCAGGCAGCTGTTTCCTCCGCCCGCCCCGCCGCTCCCCGGCCGCCCGGCACCCCGCCTGCACGCGGGCATCCCTC